TTTTTTTTTTTTTTTTGTCAAGACAGACTATTTTAAATTGTTCACTTATTGCTCGTCAATTAGCAAATATGTTGAAAGTTTTTCCATAGCAGTGAGATTAAAATGCCGCGTAATTTTAATTGAGGAATTTCGATGTAATTAAGACATCAAAAAACTGATGAGATAACTGTTTCTGTTGCACAGAGGTAATTTCGAATCAATGCAGCAAAATCATTTCGGCTTCTATTGCTTCTACTGGAAAATTTTTACTAATTTCTTAATTTACTGTGTGTATTCGCGTGTGTGTATATATATAATTTTTTTTCGTCTGTTTGCATCTTCATCTGTGTTAAAACAAATAAATATCTTACCAACAAATAAATATCTTACTAGGATATACCTATCGTGAAGTTTAATATACAGTTGCTGTTATGTGTTTAATCGTACTGAGAGAGCGAAAAAAAAAAAAAAAGTGTCAAAAAAATTTTTTTAGATAAAGGTGATATATTTATCAATATGCTAGCAGTAGATCAGACAGAATAAGCAGTAATTGAAGACTTTAGATTAACTCTAAAAAAAACCTTCTTCAAAAGTGTCACTGTGACGTTTATATCAAACAGACAACCTGTTTATTATCTAACATCTATCTATTATCTATCTGAATTGTAGTATTTAAGAAACACCTTTGTGATAAGTTTGTTTTTTTTTTCAACTAGTTTTCAATAGTTAAAAAAAAAAGCGGTTCTAGACAATATTTTTTAAAACATCTGCAACTTTCCTTTGTTTTCTGGTACCAGATTGGAATAAAAATTCAACCAAAAAAATGTTCTAAAGCTTTTTAGTTGTACAAATTGATAAACTGCTATTTTATAATGCAGACAACAGAGTTGAAAAATAAAAAATTTTTTCAATTGCCGTTCAAAAATTTTAAAAATTTTTTTCTGTTACAGAAGTCAATAATACGTCTTAACACCTTCATCACAATCACCAACGTTCTCAAGTTTTTTTTTTTTTTAAAATGCTTTCAAATTTGCATTAAGTTTAATGTAATAAACGCCTGTTTATATATTTATTTAGTTTTTGATACACAAACTATTGCAGAGCATAATCGTTATTTATGTAGTTTTATATGATGATAAAAGTTGATTTTTTGTATACATTTTACAAGTCTATGCAACAGTATCAGCATTTTGCTTTTCAATACTGATATTATTATAATCACCAACGTTATTGTTGTTATCGTTTTTGCTGCTATTAATATTAACATTAATATTAGTGCTTATTATTATTATTATTATTATTATTATTATTATTATTACTGATTCCGAAAAATCTCAAAATTAATTTATTATTATTGTCTTATTATTATTATTATTATTATTATTATTATTATTATTATATTCCGGCACAATAGCACTCTTGGTTTAAGTCTGTAGACTTTTTTTCAGTCAAGTGCGCTTTTATTTTGTTCTTGAGTGGTCACAGCAGAAATTCAGAAACCAAAAGCAGAGAACAGAGGCTCAAATAACTGCAGTATGCATTTGTCAACAGTCTTCTGAAGTTACAAACTTCGAAGCAGTACGGTAACCGGAATTTTTTAATCATCCATTCAGTACGTTACAAATTTTTCTTTCTTTTTCTGGTTTAAACACATTGTTTTAGGAATTACCTTGCTTTTGCTCCCCACGTTGAAGTTATTATATTCTAAATTATTTAAAAAAGATATGCTATAAGATGGTAAGAAAAATTTAATGCAAGACA